AGCACATGCTATGGGTCCAGAAATTGGTGGCAGAGCTGTGTGGATGCTCTTGTCCTGTGTTTACCCCTGGTGTGGCTCCTGAGAGGAGCTTTTGGCCAACACCTGTAGCAGATTGTGCTGCTGGAAACCAGGGGGTCTTTCCTGTGAGCCTCTGCCCACACACCCCTGCCTTCAGAGGCCAGGGTAAGGCTTTTGGGCTGGAATCAATGCTTTTTCCACTTTTCCCAGGCTTGGAACTGAGCAAACCTGCTGGCAGAGGCCCTGCTGCAGCCCCACGTGTTGCCCTCTGGCTCTGTCCCTTTGCAGGGTGTGAGGCAGTGGCAGTAGCTGCCCTGTGCATAGCAAATAGGATTTGTTTGTGCCCAGCAGTTCTTGTTGGGCTTATGATCAGGGGATTTCTCATTTTCAGATGGGATGATGCTGCTTAACACGATCAACCACTGTTAAACTCTCCCTGCTTTTGCTCAGTGCCTGTTACAGCCCCCAGCAAATGGTGAACCCTTTGAAATGTTTTGGTGAAATGCTTGACAGTAAGTCAGGCTGGTTTATTTCCCTTCTGTTGTGCTTTCTTTTATTTTTTTTTTATTTTTAAAGACTGAATTTTTAGCTTTTCATTTTGGTGGTTGTCACAAGCCCTGCATTATTTAAGTAGCTTGTTTTAGCAGCTTGAAATAAGCCAGAAATTCACCTTGCTCGCAGGCTACCAGCAGACACGTTTGCTGCCCGCAGGCACAAAGTAGGAGTTGATGCTCTTCTGTCAGTGGAGGTGAGCCACAGTGGTGTTCTGTGAGGGGGAGAGGCTAAAACACAGTGATTTGATGTTGCTGACATCTCTTTCAAGTTGCTCTTTTTTTTTTTCCCTCCCCCTGTTCATTTGGGATCTCAGTTCCTACCTCCCCTGCTTTCTGTCTAGTCCCGTTGCCTTGAGCTGCAGCCAGACAAGAGCACTTTGAGCCCAGTCCCATCTTGGGTATGTGGGAGTTCAAGATTTCAAATGCTGTAAATGAGGGGGGAAAAATACATTACACTGTGTTGAGAAGGGGGGCTCTCCCCTTGACTGTCAGCTTGAATTCCAGCACCATCTGAAGATGCTCATCACAGCACAAATGTGGGGTGGAGGGAGCAGATTTGAGTTCTGCTCCAGTTACTGCAGTCCAGAAACGCCTTCATCTATCAGGAGATTAAATATATGCACAGCACCAATGGTGCCTATTTTTAGGTTAAGCTAAAAATATGTCATGTGGTGTTTAAAAGGATTTTGAATGGGTTTTGGAAATCCTTGTGTAAGCATTCTGTGTGCTCCTGAGACCTGCTTCACCTCGTAGCAGCTGATCCCTTACCTCATAGTGGTGGTTGGAAGCAGTGGTTTTGTGGATGATATTTTTGCATGTTTGAGGAGCTTGTCCAGGAAGTCCCTGTGACCTCATCTGTCAGTCTGAGGTCTTGTCACTTCAGAGAACTGCTCAACCCAAGTCCCTGGTGGGCTCTGCTTTTCCCAGTAGCTGTTCTGGTAATGTGTTCTTCTCTGAACTCGCTGTAGGAAGAACCATAATGGGGAGGATTTTATTGTCTGCACAGTGAGACAGCTGGGCTGTGCTGGGTCAGAGGGTGCTGGGGGAGTGGTCCCAGCCCCAAGGCTGCCACAGCTCCAGGAGGGTTTGGACAATGCTCTCAGGCACAGGTGGGATTGTTGGGGTGTCTGTGCAGGGCCAGGAGCTGGGCTCTGATTGTGGAGTAATACAGAGGTGAAATTGGGTGGGACCATGTTTTCAGTGTGGTGGTTCCTCCCTGCACAGTCAGTGGGTGTCTTACAAGTCATGATGAGAATTTTGTGTCACCTGCATACTGCTATAGGGATTCAAGTCTCAAATCCAGCTTGATGTGCTGTGGTGCAGATGGGAGCCTTTTATTAAAAGAAGAAAAATGAAAAAGTTTGGAAAGTGTTTACCTGACTGCTTTGCTGTTAAAACAACTCGAGTTTCCTGTCTTTGACTGCATTGCAGGAAAGCTGATGGGCATGTTAGAGCCTGCTTACAGGTAGCCTTATTCTTTGCCTATAAATAGGCTCTGAAATCACTGAGGTAGTGTGGAATAGCTTCTTTCCATCTGTCTTCCTTGCTTTTTTATTATTGTTTATGTAGGGCAAGACCCCAGGGTGGCTTTGATCTTGTTACTTTACATTCTTGGCGGGCTGGTGCTATAAACATGAATAAACTTCTTATTCATGCCACTAGATGGAACTGGCCCATGCTTATGGATATTTGTTTAAACTTCAGCTCTGTATTGAGTATTGACAAAATGAATTGCTAGCTCTTGGTGGAAGCTTGGCTTTCCCTCTCAAAGCAGGGCTTTATTAAGATGCTTGGGGTTTTATTCAGTCTATTTTGAAGTAGGAAGAATTGCCAGTTCTTTCCAGCCTTGGCTTTTTTTTTTTTTTTTTGTTGGTGCCTTGACTGTGTATTACAGTTAATGCTATTTATTATATTCCTGCTTTTAAACCATGTTGGTGGTGTGCATACTTTCTTCTATGGAAGTGCAGATAGTTTTTTATCCCAAATTTAATTTCAGAATATTCCCTGTACCTCTTTCTCGCTGCTGAAGGTGGAAGTGTGCAAGTTCCTCTCTACAGGAGCCAGAGTGGCCATAGCAAATATGACCTTAGTTTTGTGTCTTATCCATCATTCATGGATCTGAGCAGCTGGGGCTTAGCCAGCATTGGACAAAGCACCATTTGAGCTATTTGGGAGAAGATTATTTTTTTAAATTTTTTTTGTAGCTGTTCTGAGCATTTGCAGTGTCACCCCCCTGTGAAGCAGCCAGCCCTGCTAATGCACCACGAGTCCCTGGAGGGGAGAAATATCCAACCCCTCAGCTTTGCTTGGAGCAGATCTGAGCACACAGCTGTCCAGCCCCTGTCTGCAGCACCTGATGCTGCAGGGGCTGGTTTGTGGCTCTCACAAATGTCCTTGTTCCTCCCAGGCAGTCTCACAGTGATCCTTTGCTGTGTTTGCTTGGTGACCTTGGCCACACTGGGCCTGCCCTGCTTCCATTTCTCCACCTTTTAAATGACAAGAAATGAATTGATTTTCTTTGCTAAAGGAGTCAGGCAGCTAAGGATGGAAAAGTGCTATGCAGGGCTGGGTGATTGCTGTGCACAAATACCAGGGAAAATACAGCTGTGATAATGTGGATGTGACCTTTTACAAAGGCCAGGGTTTGCACTTTCAGTGCCCCAGCACCTACCTGGGATGGTGGAACAGCACTTTCATGCCACTCTGGCAAATAAAGATTTATTTCTCCTTATAAGGCAGAAAATGAAGAATCTAGTGGAAACACCCACAAAATTTTGCTTTTCAGGTGTTTTCAAAGCACCATGTGCCCTTGATAACCTTGGAGCTGCCTACTGGAATTAGGATGTTCTACTGAGGTATCAGGACTCAGTTGCACATTTGTGGTAATGCTGGTTAGAAGAGGCCTCTTGCTGTTCCCTCATCCAATTTCCCACTCAAAATTGGACCAGCACCAGATCAAGGATCAGGTACATGTGGATGTTTGTAGGCAAGCCTTGAAATCTTTATGCTGGAGGTTTCCTCTGAAGAAGGTTCCCTCGGGCACTAAGCCTGTGCTGCTGGGCTTTTATAAGTGCTAAATTATACATTTTAATTTTTATTATTGTATCTTGTGCATCTGAATTCATTTCTTCATTTTACTGTCCTAGCTGCAAATCCTGTTCCCTGCAGAGGAAGTTAAGTAGAATTACTGAGGGGGAATTTATTCTGCTTGTGTGTACTAGCAAAAAGGATTTTATAGCAGACCCACCATTTTCTTCCAGCTTATGCATCAGTAAATATTTAATAGTACAGATTCCTCTGTGCTGCAATGAGGAGATGAATACTTTCCAATAAAAGAAAAAAACCTCCTTTTTCCTTTCAGTGATCAAATTGTGCTTGGAGTTCCTGTATGTGATAGTGGGAACGGAGAGCTCTAAGCTGACAGAGCATAAAATGGAAACCTCCTGTTTAGTTTGCAGTGATTCCTCTGGCCCCCTAATCCTGTTTGGGAGCCTCTGGCCAATTCCTTGTGCCTCTCTGAGAACAGGTGGGGGTAGCAAAGCTCAGCTTCAAAAAGCCAAGTCCTGTGAGGGAACCTGATTCCTGTCATGCTCTCCTTTTGGTGTGAGAGCAGATGGTGTTTCCTGGAATTTGTACCAAACCCTTGCTGTAAATCAGGGAAATCTCTTCTATAAAATAGCAGATGGTGGTAAGGAAGTGTTCTCTGGAATGTTCCTGTGCTGTTTCACAGTGCAGGCACAAACCACACACTGACACTGCTCTGCCCAGGGTGCAGCTTCCTTCTGACACACCAGGAATGAGGGGGGTGTGGAAATGAGCTTGGAGCATCTCTGGTGGCTCTGAAGTTGTGCCTCACTTGGCAGCACTGGGGGAATTCAGGCTGGGATGGTGCTGTCCCTGCTGGCTGTTCCCCTCCAGGCTGTGTGTGACTTCCCTGGCAGTAAGGGTGACAGGGATGGGTGTAGTGACACCATCTGGGGGTGTGAGATGCAGGTGGATGTGGGGCTGCCCTGGGACAGCTCAGGCAAGGGGATTTTGCCCCTCTCACCTGTTGATGGTGGCAGGAACGGCACTGTGTGGGTTGGTGCATTGGATTTTGGTTGGAAACAAGAGAAAGTCCACATACTGGGAGGGTTTGAGTCCTGCTTGGGTAGAACTGCATCTCTCCTCCTTTGCTGTGGTTGCATGGCTCCTCCAGAGAGACTTCTCTGGCCTAATTGCACTCTTCAGTCCACTATCTTAACTGTTGGAACACAAAATAACAAACATATCTCCTTTCAGGTCCTGAGAGGGGGGCACAGAAAAATACTCATGTGGAGAGACTGCTGGGAGAGCCAGGAGAACCCCTAGCAGCTAAATCTTGGAAAAAAACCCTTAGGGTGAATCTGAGTTTGCCTGACTCCCTTGTGGTTTTATTTTATCTTCCAGTTCCTCATGTGAGCCTGACTGCCATGCTGGGGCATTGACACTCTGGGGTGCAGCTGTTTAAAATGGCAGAGAGAGGTGGGAATGAAGAAGTGATTAACCTGAACAGCTTCAGCAATCACAGAGGGAAAGGTGAGTACTGATTTGTGCCTGTTTCCAAAACACTTTGTGAAACTCTGCTGAGCAGCAGGATTCACAGACACTGAACTTGCAGGGAGCTGCTGGAGGTCTGTTCTGTCACATCACACACTATTCTGTTACACTGACTTAGCCACCTACAGAAACTCTTTCATATTATGCAGGCATGCAAAATATTTAGCTCTTGTGTTTCTCATGTTGTACTGCCTCAAGGGATATTCTGACTTCTTGGGAACACTGTGTGGAGGTGTTTCATCAGAACCAAGGAGGATCCATCCTTCTGAGAACCCCATAGGAGACAGGCTGACCCTAAATTTATGCTCTCACAGGGCTGTGTGCATTGGCACCCATTCCCTCAAGGGTGGAATTTAAAGTGAGGCTTTCTCTGTATGCCTGAAGGGTCATAAATGAACACTCATGCTGAAAAATAAACCAAAACATGTGAGATTTTAGGGAAAGCATAGTTGCATGTTCTCTGTGCAGTACAGAAACCCTCTAATTCTGCCTTGAATCTCTCTGCTGTGTTCCAGCAGCTGTTGAGTAGCATCTATATTCCATTCTTGACAAACCTTGAGGCACAAGGTTGTCATTTCTAGCAGGGTATCTTTGGCACCCACAGCCACAGGCCTTATCTTGGCCCTGCATAAGGTGCTCCTGCAAAGTCTCTTTCAGAAGAGGCTGAGTTGCACAAAGACCCTTATCTCTCTGCTAGATTGCACTGCATTTTAACAAAGAAAATGCAATGTCCCTGAGATATTGAAAGTTCAGGATTTCTCTGCAGAAGTATTCCCTACATGCCTTGTTTGTAATAACTTCTGCAGCAGTTTGACTTGTGCTGGGGTTCAGGGTAGTAGAAGATTCTTTGTGAGTGTCAGTGGCTGTCCCTGCAGTGCTGCTGTGATGAGCTGAAGCTGTGCAGGTGTTTTGCTGGAGGCTGAGGGATGCAGGAGTGGCTGTTACAATGCCTTGCAGAGGAATTGGTGACCTCTGAATGCTTCTTCCTGCAGTGCAAGTGGGAAAATTGCTTTCTCAGATGTTTCAGTGCTACATGTACCTTGTAATTCCATTTATTTACCTTGAGCCAACAGCTGACTTCAACTTTACTTACTGTTCTGCAGACTGGATAAACCACAGAGATGAAAATCTTATCACAATATCAGATTCCTCAGATGAAGATTTGCCTTTGTTGCTGGAGATGCCAGAAAAGCAGCAGACTGAGGAAGATGATGATGATGACATAGTCATCTTAGCAGAGGTAACTTTACAGCACAGCAGCTACAACAATGAATTCATGGCCTGTATTGCAAAGTCTTGTGCCTGATGCATTCCTCTGAGTCCTGCCTGGTTATAGCAATCTGCTTAGGATGTCTGAAATAACAGTGAAATGATGGCATTTTGCTGGCTTAATTTAGTCATATTTTGAGCACAGGAGGGGAAAACCAGACTGTGGAACTGCATTGTGTAGTCTAAGTTCTACTTTTTGAAGGTTGTAACTCCCATGAAGTTGTCTGTTGAATCCAGCAAGGTGGAGTGTTTTGCAAGAGGACTTGATCTTCCATAAAATGTTTTCAAACCTTGCTTTGATTTATAAATGTACTCTGTATGCTTTATATTCCTCTATACTGTTTGCATTCATGTTGGGCTGTTGCAGGCACTGATATTTTTACAGCATTTCATATCTGTCTTGTATTAAGAATATATTCCACTTTCCTGTTAAATTAACCAGAAGCACTGAGAAAATGGATTGCAAAGCTGACCTTTCTGCTTTTTAGTTGAAAACAGCAGCACAGAGCACTCAGGCTCTGTTGGCATACAGCAGTCTGCCTGCCAGAGGCAAGAACAAGGCCAGAGATTAATATTTGGAGCTTTGGTTCCTGCCTGTTTAAATAAATTGGTGAGAACACAAATATGTCATCAGTTAGTTCTTCCTTCCCAGACTATTTTACTGAAAGGGAAGTGAATACTGAGGTGAGCTTAGGAAATTGTTCCAGTTTGAAAGTCCTGTGCATCCGCAGTTCTGCTGAAGGTTCCCGTAGCACCTGGGGACAGGCAGATGACACAGATGTGTGGGTTGCAGTTCTGTGCTTTATTAAGCATCTTGCTGAACAGACTGTTTATCAGTTTCCCATCAGAAGTTTCTTAGATGCAGAAGTATCTGGAGCAAGGATTCTGACACACAGACAAGAATTCCTCCTTTCTCTTGTTGATGTCCTTTTCAGACCCCGAAGCATCAGCAGCCTCTGCGTCCCAATGTCATCAGACCTGCTGCTCCATGGCAGGGTGCAGACACTGTGGGGGAAGGAGGATCCAAAAGTGCTGTGGAGCCATTGAGCACAGACCTGCAGCATTCAGCTCTGCCCTGTGAGGGAGATGGGAACAACCTCGTGGTGGAGAGCAATGCTGGACCAAGCAGGGGGGAGAGTGTGGATGTTGCCTTGCAGCAGCCAGGACCATCTGAGCTGAATGGCCCCAGATCTGAACTTACAGGTAGCCAGGAGCCTGGCCCAAGTTTGCTGCCACTGATCAAGGTGCATCCACAGCCTGCTGATAACACACAAATCATTAGTCTGGAGAATGCAGACCTTCCACCTCAACAGGAGGAAAGGATGGAAGCTCGGGAGCAGCAAGGAAAGAACTTGGAGCCAGAGCAGAAACTTGAAGGAATAGCTGCTAAAACTACCCCGGAGCAGGGGGGGATGCAGGAGCAGGGCCAGCTGGAGCCCCGGCGCTTCCCCCCGCAGGAAGAGGAGCCCCGGGCCGTGGCGAACGGCCGCGCTCCTCAGCGAGGGCAGCCAGAGGCAAACCCGGCATCCCTGCAGGCGTACGGGGGGAAGGCTCCAGGGCCCGCCTTCCCCCGGCCCGAGCCGCCCCAGGACGGCATTCCCGGCCCTGCCTCCCCGCAGCCGGCACATCCCCCCGAGGAATCGGCTCAGCCGGCGGGGACAGACAACAACGAGCGGCCCGGGCCCGCCTTCCCCGCCCGGGGCTCGCAGGAACTCGGCTCGGGGGACGTGCCAGAGCAGGGAGCTGCTGGGCAGGAGCAGGACCTGACTGCGCTGCTCATCAGAGAGACAGTAAGTATTCCCAGGGCTCCTCTGCCTCCTGTGTGTGTAGATGTTTTCAGACAGGTTTTTCAAGGTGTGTGGAGTCTCACATGCTCGGAATGCCCAGCTGCAAATCCTCTTTGCTTTGGCTGAGATTCAGCCACGCACCAGGTGAGGAGCATGTGATGAGCTGTCCTGGAAAACTTTTGCTTAACATGAAATAATCTGTGTCTGTTCCCTGAAAGACCCTCTTGGATCTGGTCTGGTTTTATCTGGTTCTTTCCTAACCCAATACTGTAGAACCGGTTTAGGATTGGATATAAAACTAAATGAGTAAACCTGGGACACTAAACAGTGGCAGAGGGATACAGGGTGGAGTAGAGAAGTTTTAGGGACACATGGCTGAGAGCCAGGACTGCTTTCAGCTGCCTCTCCTACAGGAGTGTGGTCCATGCCCATGTTAATGCCACCATGGTGGCCAAGGGTAAGGGTTGCCCTTGCAGTTTGGATTTTCAAGCAGCAGCACCAAGGAGTAACTGGATAAGCATCATAAGACTTGTGCACGTCAACTCCACATGCTCCATGTGTGAAGCTTAGCATGAGGGACACTGGCTGTGACAGCAGCCACCAAGAAGGACACTCCTTATCCTTTAGTATATCCAGCAGCTTGGGCAGTATGGTTAATATATGATAAATAAAGCTAAATAAAAATGTGGTGATTCATGTGTGTGATGTTTGCACACCTCTCCTCTTGATTGCTAGGGAGGACTTGTTGAATATTTTTTCTTGCAAATAGGCATATTCTTATGTGTTTGTATCTTCTACCACCACCCCACCCCCTCCAAGTCTTCCCCCCACGTCCCATGGCTAATTCTACTTGGGAAAACTGCAGTTGAGGAATATATTTTTTTAAGTAGCAGTCTAACAAAATTCAGTTCTTTCCAAGACCTCATTGCTCAATGCCTTTGAGCTGGGTAAGAGGCTGTTCTTGCAGTGTCAGTCCAGTCTTGCAAAGCAAAATACCACATGGTAGCAATAGCTGTACAGAAACCCCAGAGAGAGCAGCAAACACTGGGAGAGCCTTCACAGAAATGCCAATGCCACCAAAGGTTTGTTTTCTGTTCTGGTCTCATTGCTGGTGTGTCTGGGCTCATTGGGTGGGTGTACATGTTGTTGGTTTATTTCCTTTTGCTTTGGAATGTTGTATTTCAGCACATAATCTGGAGCTCCTTGCTGCTCATGCTGAAGGTAAATATTCCCTTTCCTTGGGTTGAAGTTCATTCCTATGGAGCCTGAATCTCTCCTTAGGCCAGATGCCCTTGGCTTTTCATATCCCTGCCCTCACTCTTCCTTTGAGAAAGGGCTGTTAGCAGTCATCCTGTGGAGCAAGGCTGGATGGCTGTAAATGATCTCTTGACCATTTTGCCCTGAGTCTCAGGATTTTTTTTTGATTAATTACATATAATCCCTGTCCTGGGAGCTATGTCTGTTACGCAGCTTCTCTAAAACCTACATAACCTTTACCTTTTCCTACTGTAGGAAGCAAGATTCCCAGATGTGAAGAAGGAATATATTGAAGAATTAATTCTCATCAAGAACTGTTATGACTTAAATGTGTAAGTATAGAGGCAAGAACCAGAGTGTGTCATGCACCTGCAGCACTTCCATCCTGCCAGGAATGCTGCTTTAGAGCACGTCCAGGCTGGGCCTTCAGCACTGCTTTGGTAGTACCACAGATTCTTTTTTTTTGTTCTTCTAATTGAGCTGGTTTTAAGTCCTTTCTAGTTCTGTTGTGCTGTAGCTTCTCTGCTTTTAAGATAATTTACTTATTTAAATATACTGCATATAATTTTGTCTTATCTATTACTAGAGCTCTTAAAAAGAGTGAGTGTCAGGATTAAGGTGTTCAGATGACTGCTATAAAACATAGTATGGAGATGGGTTGGTGAGTTTTGAGTTGGAGGAAGTCATTCCCTCCTTCATTTCACTGGTTTTTGGGTTTTTCCAGGTAAAGCTGACACTGGCTTGGAGTCCATTATTTGGTGTCATGATTTTGGCTTTTATCCTATTTACTTGCTCAGGTAGCAGTGGTGCTGTTTGAATTCTCTCACATTGCTTTTTGGGGATAGAACAGAGCAAACACATTTAAGGGCTGGTAGGATTGGCTCTAGAGATCTGATGAGGGACTGATTTTGGTCAAACTAAGCAGAAACATGGGCAAGAGAATTAAATAAAAGGAGAGGAAAGCTAATGTGAGGACTTGCTTTCCAAATGGCATTAACAGCTCGGGAATACCTTAATGTTAATCATGCTGGAGGTTTCTAGGAGTCAAGTTAAGAGTCAAAAGTTTAGAAAAAAAGTGATTACCCTTCCTGCTGAGTTGCATCATCTCCCTGCCCTGCTGGGCAGAGCTGGGGAGTGAAGGATTGCGTGTGCTGGCACCAGCAGCACCGAGGGGAGATGCTTTGAAGTAAATCACTTGTGACTGCTGTCTGATGCTTGGTGGCCTCTCTTTCTCCCTCTGCAACTGTCTCTGCTATCTCCAGCATGTCCAGACTGGTTACTGTGTGATCCAAGAATGAGGAATAGGTGTTGGTTGCCAGAGTGTTCATTTGTGTAAACCCAATGCCCTTTCCAGCTAACTGGGGCACCAATTAAGCAGCATTTGAGTGTGTGAGGCTTAGAATGAGTCACTGGGCCATAAGTGAGTTAACTGGTGAGGAACTGAGGATGATCCCACCCATTGGGCACAGATTTCCTATTCTGCTGTGCCGTGAAGTTGTGTTTCCCATGTAAAGCTTCTTGGTTAGAAAGTCAGCAGACTAGAACTTCTTTCTGGTCCTTCAGAAGTGCTTTCCCTGCAGTGGTGGAGCAGCTTTGGGGTGCCCACACCATGGACTGGGTGCACCTCAGGCTGGATGGTTGTGGTGGGAATGTAGAAGACAAGCAGAGCCATTCCTTGGGGCAGTTGGGCTGTTGAAGGTGTACATCTGGCTGCAGGACCCTCCCAGATTGTGTGGAAAAAACCTCGGGTTTGTGTCCTGGGGGGATTTAGCGAAGCCTGATAGAATTAAATCCCACTATTGGCTTCTGTCAGTCTTAATGTTTTCCTTCCCTTTTTGCTCCCGAAATCTCTTCTCTCCCTTTGTGTGCCACAGAGCCAGGGAGATGAAAAGGTGCTTCCAGGCTTTCCTGTAGGCCAGCTACAGTGCCTGCTCAGTGGTGCATTACCCACTTACTGGATGATAAAGATTTCTTCTCCATATTTTTATTCCTTTAACCAAACCATCTTTTGAGTTGTCACTGCAGCTTTTGTGTGAGAACAAATGGGTCAAAGCACTGGTCAACCTCGCTGACAGGGTCTTTTTGATCTCCATGGTGTGTCAAGCTGAATCAGGCTTGAAATATAATAACTAAGGGTGAGTGGTTTTGGGCAGGGGTGAGGCTTTTAACCAGCTCTGTGTCCTGTGGTGCAGATATTAATGAACAGTGCCATGAGTGTGGGTGTGCTGTGCAGCAGGACCCACTTAACTAATTGTCACACACTGGAGGCCAACATCCCCCAAAATCCTCAGCGTTGAAGTGGCAACATGCAGGAGATTCAAATGTTACCCTGGCTGTGCCCCAGCTGAAACCCTTTCCTTAGAGCCACGATCTCAGCTCCTTGAAGTGTCTGTTTTGTTGGATTAAAACAGTTGTCTTTTACCAAAGGGATGGCAGGAGGTGGGAGCTGGAAGCTATTAAATGCTCAATGCTAAGATATTTGTTGTTTTCCCTGAAATGATCTTCTTGAAACTTTCAGCTGATGTGAAAGATAAGATGTGGGAGCCCCTCTTAGCAGTGTATCACCTATTCAGCTTTTGTGTGCAGGAGCATTCACACTCAGTCAAAAGCTTCTGGCTCAATATGTCAATACCTGATTAAACCAAAAGAAATGCCCCTGCTTTGAATGTGAAAGCAGAGCTAAAGTAATCGGGCCTTGATAGTGGGTTCATGCTTCAAGCCAGTTCAGATTTCTTAATTAGGGACTGATTTCTGACATCAGGAATATAAATTAGCTGCAATTATGTCTTTGCTGCAGCCTAGCACCTTCTCGTTCCAATAGTTCTACAAATGTTAATTGCTTGTCCTGGCTCTTTTCAGAAGGATCTTATTCTGCAGCTGGGGAAACTGAGGAACATCTTGTGTTACTGGCCCCAGCCAGCACAGCTGCTTGGTGAGGGCTGAGAAAAAGCTGTGGGAGCCTGAATCAGGCTGCCCTTTCAGAAGGGTTTCTGGAGTATTTGTGGTTCTCCACCAATGGGGCATTTGAAAACCCCTTGCTGAGTCTTTTCTGAGCTAAAATATTCAGTTAAACTACACTTACCTGGCAGTTATGACTGTTTGTGGTAGGACCTCAGATATGCTGCATTTACAGGCTATTAGGCAAATGTTCAGCAATTTTAGTGGTTATTTTCTAAGTGCTGTTCTCACCAGACCAGTTTCTAGTGGAATTTGGGCAATGCTGGTGTGATTGCAGGCTTTGTTACAATGAAACCTGCATTCAGAGTTTGTATTCCATGGAGATACACATCTCAAACTTGATTTCGTCTCTGCTTTAATCATGGAATCACAGAATAGTTTGGATTGGAAAGGCCATTAAGATCACCTAGTTCCATCCTCTGCTGTGGTCAGGGACACTTTCTATTGAACCAGGTATTCTGGCTGCTTTAATGTGAAGGTAGCCTGAGAATGGAGGCTTTGATTCAAGTTTGAATCTGTAATATTTTGTTGAGGAAGATATGAACCTTTTATGGGTTTTGTAGGGATTTTTGTGCTGTTTTTTTCCATACATGATTAGTAGCTCATCCATACAAGTTTTGTGTATGTAAACTTAATTATTGAAAGACAAACCCATTTGCTTTTCCTTCTGCAGCCACACAGCTGATTATTTGTCATTTAATTCTCAGTCATTTTCTTGCAGTTTGCTCTAGTCCAGCACCACCCTTTGTCCTTGCAGGGCAGGCTTTGACTGTGACCTCATAATTATCCAATACTAAAAACTGGACAAATGAGAAATGAACCTGAGCTCCCCAGCCCTGAAATAACTATCTTTATCTTTTCAGGCTTTGTAACTTTCTTCTGGAAAACCCAGATTACCCAAAGAAGGAAGGCAGAGTGGTTTTAAACCCCAGCAGCAGCCTGCTTGCCAGCCAAGATGAGACAAAGGCAAGTGAGAGTATCCACATCTCCTGCTGCCTCTGGGCAGTCTGTTCAGCCTGAGTGGACCTTGGGATGTCTGCTTTGATTAGTGTGTGTTTGCAGAGTGCTTGACTGAGCCTGGCTTTCACAGGAGGCCTCTGGGTATGTGTAAGGCAGCGTTAAATAGCAATAATTAGTTGCTTGCAAGATGACTTCCAAGCCTTTCCTGTTTGGCTGTGCCAGAGCTGCACAGTGTCTGCTCCTTTGCCTCCAGCAAGCCCCTCTGCCCTGCCTGCCTGTCACTGCCCCATCTCAAGTGTTCATTTTGATAACTGAGACAAGAATTCCACAATCATTCTGTCATTCATCATGAAGTAGCCTTGGCCCTTGGGTCTCTCTTGTGAGGCCTTTAGGCATTGCCTTGCAGCCTCCTAACTGCAAATCTCCCTACAGATGCTTGATTTTGTGCTTTAAAACATCCATTTAACAAAAAATTCTCTCTGAGCTCCACTCTGAGGGTGTTGTGTGGCCTGGGAGAGATGTTGAATACCTCTTTCTACTCTTGGAAGTGTCTCTCTACCTTGAGCTGGTAAAGTTGCTCACTCTTCATCAGGAACAATTTTCTAAATACTTCTCCTTGCTGTCTCAGGCAGCCACTCACCATGGTTTTAAACAACATTTTACCTTGTGCAGGTCACCTGCAGAGGTGCCTGGGCCAGTAGGCTTTTCACTCACCCTGTGCTAAGGTGCTCAGAGTTGGGTGCCTGAATTTTGGCTGGTCTTGCAGAATGCCCTGATCACTGAGACAGCCATTTGTGACATTCCTGTGTGTATTTACAGCAACCTTTCCATCTTTTTCATTTTCTCCCTAGGTGCCTAAAGTGGACTACTTTGACTTTTCCAAACTCGCCCCCCTTGACCAGCGGTGCTTTATCCAGGCAGCTGATCTCCTCATGGCAGACTTCAAAATGCTGAGCAGCCAGGACATCAAGTGGGCCCTGCATGAGCTCAAGGGGCACTATGCAATCACACGAAAGGTGCTCCAGTTCAAGTCTCTTTTCTTCCCTGGACTTATCTCCCATGTCTGCAGAGAGCACTGAGATGGCTTTGGCCTTGCTGTACCATCTGCTGCTGTGTGGTTATGGGTTTTATAATAATCTTCCTTTCCTTTTAAGAAGTTTTAATCCATTTAGTAGAGATTTTCAAAATTTATTGGCCAGACAGAATGCTGCAGGAAGTTTTTACTTTCCCTAATAGGACTGGGGGAACATGAGCTGGCTCATGGTGGGTGATGCATTAAACTGGGAAGTGTTCCTGTGTGTCGCCACTGAAGTGCAGTATAATTGCCAATAAAACCCTGGCATTTAGTTAAATCTAAAACATTTAGCTGCTGCTGCTGGTTAACTGGCTGCATGGAATTAAGAAGCAGCCTGAGTATCACTGTCCTGTTTTGTCTTGTGACTTGTGGCATGAGTCCTGTATTCCTTATAAAAGAATTTCACTGTCTTGGAGATGCAAAGACATTTGTTTGAAGTATCAGCGAACTGAATGTCAGTGTGGGTTCAAGTTTTTACTTAGATCTGCTCCTCTGATATGCCCTTGCTTGAGCTTGTTTCCCTACTGTTCCAGGACTTAACTAAAACAAAACTTGTTGTATGTTCTCTTGATTGATTGAGCATTGAGCACTTGATTGATTTGAACCTCACCTTTTTAAACAAAAAGCCAAACCCAGCAACAAAAAGAAGCCAAACCAGCTCTGTTTAATGCAGCTGGTGCCCACTTTGGTATTAACAGCTGAGCTGTAATGAAATATCATTCACCTGCTTTGTTTTTGGGGAATAATTACTTTGAGTATATAAAGCAAGGTGAGCAGATGAAAGATGTATATTTGCCTCTCTTTGGAGTGTTTGGCTTCCTAGTTTTGGATCAATCCTATGCCCATGTTTGTACTGTGCTTCAGCTTGAATTAAGTGCTCCTGCTTTCTTCCAGGCCCAGGATTTAAGGCTGTGTGTTGTTTTCTAGGCCTTTTCAGATGCTATCAAAAAGTGGCAGGAGCTGTCTCCCGAAACCAGCGGGAAACGAAAAAGGAGGAAAGAAATGAATCAATATTCCTATATAGACTTCAAATTTGAGCAAGGTAAATGCCAAGCTGTGTGGATTGTGCCCTCTGCATCATTATTGTAAGCAGAACTGGCTTGCAGCTGAAAGCAGCTCTTGAAAGGGGATGTGGTCCCAAAAGAGCTGAGTTTCTGTCAGTGGTATCTGTTTTGGAGATGCTCCTCATTAGCACCTCTGCTTGGTAAAGTGCTGTGAGCTGCTGAAAGTCTGCAGCTGGTGGTGTATGCAGGAAGAAGGATTTAAGCTTTGTTCTGGCTGCTTTATCCCTTCTTATTGAGCCTTTAACTCTGCTTCAGGGGATGTGAAGATTGAGAAGCGCATGTTCTTCCTGGAGAACAAGAGAAGGCACTGGAGGAGCTATGACAGGCTGTCCCTTCTCCCCCCAGTGCTGCTGGAGCAGGAGTTCTATGAGCAGAAAGTCAAAGAGATGGCAGAGGTGAGTGACAGGAGCTGCTTTGATTGTGTGCAAATCTTCAACAACTGCTGAAGTTTTGGCCCTAAACATGAAAAATCTGTCTCTTATAGAAACTCAAACACTGAACCGAGTATCGAATAACTGTTTTCCCCTTCCCTTCCCTACCTGTTACACACGTGTCTCTTTGCAAGAAACTCCATTATAAAGGAAAGAAGCCAAGCACAGAATTTCGTATTTACTTAAATATGCAGCTGCTGCTTGTGCAAACACCATCCTGGAGTGGGGGCTTTTGCTATGAAGTGGTGAAAACTCTACTAATTAACTCTTTCCTCTAATTGTTAGCAGGCTTCTCTGCTGCTTTAGGGCTTGTAATTGCAGCTCAGTGTTGGTGGTGAGGAATGCCCAGCCCAAGGCAGTGTGTCCAGTCACTGTGCCCTCCCCAGGCTGGCAGTCCTGTGGCTCCAGAAGGGTTTGTCCTGTGCTGAGAACTGGGTGTTTTGAAGCAGAACCTGCAATACCCACTGCTGTGTTGTCTTCCTCTCCTAGGCTGAGGAAGGAGTGAATTCACAGCTCTGCACCCACAGTCCTTTCTAAAGTAGCTCCTTAAAGATCCTTGTCTCTTAGGCAGATGGATGAGGTCTCCTTTGAAACAAAAAGCTCACGTTCTCTGGAGGGGCCCATTGGGTGAGATCATCTCTGCCCATGGAAACCTGAACCCCACAAGACAGAATTTGGTTCTTTGTTCTTGCTGTCTTTGCTTCTCCCATCTGTTTTAGCTGAATCATAAATAGCTTAATGGATTGGAGGGATGGGCTGAGTGATGTTACAAGCAGACAGCGAGCCTTTTATGGTGGTTTGTGAGTCCTGAGATAATGTAAATGAGTGGAGAGTTTGGAAAATTGCTCTATCTAGTCTGTAAATACAGATGCACATGTCTCTTGCAGCACGCAGACTTCCTCCTGGCTCTGCAGATGAACGAGGAGCAGTATCAGAAGGTCAGTATCCATATTGTTATAAGTTGAATTAATTCAGCTTGTGCACAGACAGTGCAGTTCCTCCTTCACAGATACTTTTAGCTCTGGAATGGAGCTTTTCTGAAGCTGCATTTTCACTGTGCTGCTTTTGCTGAGCTGGCAAGATGTGTGTAATGTTTGTTGGCTGGCTTTTAGGAAAGGTAGACAGGAGCTGAGGCCAGCAAGACAGTATTGATGCATGTAATGATCTGTAGTAATTCAGCTTGTATCTTCACTGCTCAGAACAAACATTGCAACAGAATAGCATCAGGTTTGCTCTCATTCTTGCCATTATAGCTGTTTCAAACAGATCCATTGTTGTTGGAGCTTGGCCAGTGAGAATACCTTCCTTGTTTGCAGAAGGAATTATTTAAAAACCTGAAAATCAGCTCTTCTAGTTCAGAGAAAATGTAGAGAACAGTTCAGCAGCTGTGCATTGCATTTTGGTTTCAATGTTCATTTTCCTTTCAAACTTTGGAAAAGTGGGCTATACTTTTACTTTCTAGCAGTGGCAAACTTCTCCACCTCCACCAAACAGCTAAGAGGCCAAGGCAGGGTCTGCCCAGGCAGATGGTAAATGTTCCTTTAGAGGGTAACAGATCTGAATCTTGGTTTTCCCCATGAGAGTGGTGTGCACACTCAGGCTGCTTCCCTGTGACTGCAGCTTCCCAAACCCAAAATGCTGCTCTGCCTGTGAGCTAAGAATTATTAATCACTGCATGTTCTTTAGCTTTTTGGAACCTGTCAAGTAGGACATGTAACCACAAAATGACTTAAAACTGAGTTTCTGGTTGCACTTAGGGAATCTGGACCACCAAATAAGATATCTAATGGAGTGGTGTATATCTGCAGCTTTTTTTAGCATTAATGCTGGCAGTTTTTTCTGCCTTGCAGTTGTGTGTGTGTTGCTATAGCTGTTGATGTTTTGGTGCTGGTTCCTCTGGTGGCTGCAGGACGGGCAGATGATCGAGTGCCGCTGCTGCTACGGGGAGTTTGCCTTCGAGGAGCTGACTCAGTGTGCAGATGGTCACTTGTTCTGCAAGGAGTGCCTAATTAAATATGCTCAGGAGGCAGTTTTTGGCTCTGGGAAGGTAAGGATTTCACAACTGCACAAGGGGGAAATGGGTAATTGCTCTTGGGAGATGACATTGTTGTTTGTGTAGTGTTGTTACTTAAAACAGATGTAACTGCACTTCCAAGGAAATACTTGAATGGAATGGTGTCCTGAGATCCAAGTCAGTCTTGCCATCAAGTGAAGCCAACAACTTCACAATGTGATCTTTGCACAGGATTTCAGGGTTACTAACCTCTTTTTTTTTTTTTCCCTCTATGCTTAGCAATTTGATTGTTAGAAAAACTTTATACAACGCTCATAGTAAAACAATAACTTGTTTGGCTTTTATTTTCTACTAAATAAACCAGTGGTATCTGTACAGAGAACAATTATCTCTGACTTGGCCTCTCTCCTTCTACCTAAGAGTGTTTCTCCTTCATAATATCACTGTGATCCCAACTTAATTGGGGGGTTAGTTCCTCTATGGTACTACTAACCTCCTTGGTCTCTCATTTAGCTAGCAATTATCCTGGTACTTAGCTGAGTTATAAACAAGTCATTAACCTACTCTGAAGTGTGTCTGCTCCTTTGCCTCAGGATATGATGCTCCAACTGTGGGATGCTGTTGTACTCTGGGATCCATTTCATGTAAATGTATAAACTGGCAGCTATATTTCATATGACTTTATTGAAAAGAATGTAGTGTGTGAGTGCTGGTTCTCAGCAGAGACTGAACAATAATAACAGGCTGATAAATGGTCACAGTGAACTTGGAATGAATTGTGGTCCTAGCTGGCAACAGCATCTTCCTGCCCAGTGCTTGTTTGAGGCCTGATTTGTCTAATTAGGCTTGTTCTTTCCGTGGTGAGGCCATTCTCTGGCAGTCAGGTGGATTTAGATGAGATATTGAGAAAAAATTTTTGTTATGGGGCACTGGCACAGGTTACCCAGAGAAGTTGCAGATGCTCCATCCCTGGAAGTGTTCAAGGCCAAGCTGGACAGGGCTTGGAGCAAGCTGGGAGCTGTCCCTGTCCATGACAGGGATTTAGAACTGGATGATTTTTAAAGTCCCAAAACCCAAGTCATTCTGAGATCTGCTGACTTCAGCCCTTGCTCTGTCTGAGCAAGGCTCTGCACTGGAAATGCTCTTTGCTTGGAAATGTTCTGGATCCTGAGTTGCTCTTTGCTAATGTCATGCTGAACCTGAGCCCTCTTTCCAACCCCAGTCAGAGCTGAGCTGCATGGAAGGCAGCTGCACGTGTTCCTTCCCCACCAGTGAGCTGGAGAAGGTGCTCCCAGAGAACATCCTCTGCAAATACTACGAGCGCAAGGCCGAGGAGGAGGTGGCTGCTGCCTGTGCAGATGAGCTCGTCAGGTGAGTGTCCCACAGAGAGTGCTGCACTTACTGCTGTGCAAAATTGTTCCCTGGAACTCTACTTTTGTGCTGACTCTGAGATAGGTAGATTTTAAAGAGCTGGATTATAAATTCAGTCTTCTGCCTTCCCAGTTCTGTTTTTATTCTGCCTTTGACTAGGAGCAGATTAAAATTCAATAGACTTGTCTCCCCCAAGACTTGCTTGCCAGCTCTGTGCTGATCCACTAAATTACATGGTCAAAAGCAGTGCTGAGCATATAATATTTTGATTGCAAACGGGGAAGCGATTGAAGAAATATGAGCAAAAAGGCAATAGTCAGCACATCCTGGCAACAGGCAATGGGTTGGCAGCCTTAGCAACTTCCATGCAGCTATTTGACTAAATCAGCTTTCAGCAAAGCTATGTTTGACACTCTGCATTAATGGCATCTTGTTTTGGGTTACAGGTGTCCCTTCTGTAACTTCCCAGCTCTACTGGACAGCGATGTGAAGCGGTTCAGCTGCCCCAATCCCCGCTGCAGAAAGGTAATTGGGGCTTGCTTCACATTTGGTTTCTTCTGAAGTGTTGGACAGGAGTGCTGGGAGGACAACTCACCCTTCCTACTAGCAGTATCTCATGTGACTGCATAGGGCAGCAAAGTGTTTGCTGGACCCTACTGATCTTCTATAAAACTGGGTGCCTGGACAGGTGAATTTCAGGGCACTGTTGATAGAGGAGGAGTCCTGTCTTTTCTTTGAAGGTATTGGCTAAAAAAGCCTAATACTTACTTTGGGGGAGAAATCTGTTTATGAAATATACTCAATTCCATTTTAGATCCTGATCTCCAGATAGGTTTTGTTATCATTTGCCCTTCACAATGGGGAAAGGAATGTCCTGGTGTTGGGGCAGGGAGGTTTGCTAGGCACTAGGTGGCAATGTTGATTCATGTTTAAATCTCAGGTTTTTTCTAACTGTTTTTGCAAAAGCTGAGCTGTTTTCAAAATGTACAAATGTCAGCACTAAAAAACAGAATTTAGGTTTGAAAAACATGAACCCTTCAATGGGCAAAATGAATTGAAGTTGCTTTTTCCCTAAAATGTGTAATGCAGCAGAGTGATCATGTAAGAGGGATCAGTGCTGAAATGTTCCTTTCCTACTGCTTCACTCTTTCATTTCCTTCCTAGTGTACTGTCTGTTCCCCCCCTCCCTGGGGTTACAGCATTCCAGTGGGCTGGATTTCTGGTTTCCTGGACAGCTTGTGTTGATTCATTAGCTGAAAATCTGCTGAGTAGCTTTGTGCTCTTCTTAGAAGTCTTTAACGACTTCAGGATTTGAAGTCGAGGGTGAGGAATTTGGATAGCAGGATGTGGTGTCTCAGCATCAGCTGCAGTGGTTCTTCATATTCCTGTTATCTCCTCTGTCTCCAGAATGAAGAATTTCAGTTAATGCTCTTGCTTGCAGGAAATGGTTGCCCTAAGGGAGGAAAGGGCTAATCTAGTGAACTCCACAGAGCTTGGAGAGGATGCACTGGCTTTGCTAACAGTGCCTCTGGTGATGACTGATCCTGGAAGGAGTCCCTCTCTGGTTGGAAGGACTGCACTCACATAGCTGAACCTAAAGCAAGGGGAAAGTCAAAATGTGTCTCTCCTAAAATCTCAGAGTGCTTTGAGGGTGGGGAGAGGAGGACCAGATGGGGGACCTGTTGTATCCCTGTGCCCCATCACCTGGATCCTTTGTCTGGCTTTGGGAGTTTGTGTTGATACCCTCGGGGTCTCCATTAAATCTTGCAGGGAGGTTCATTCATATTTGGGCCAGCTATGGGTATGCTGTAAAGCAAGTGATGTGAACCAGCTGCAAGCCCTTTGTGTCTGTGTGCTGGGCTCAACAGTAAGAGCTCTACACATACGCAGGTCACTGCCTGTGCATCTCACCTGTAGTTCCAGGTGCACCTTGCAGGGGCCCAAATGTGGCTAATGGTAACTTGAGCAATGGGCAGAGCTGCCCTGCCCCTGTGAGTGCCCAGCTGCACGGGGAGCATGCAGATGAGCTGGCACCATCTGCCAGGGCCACTGTGGCTCCAGCTGTGTGGCACCAAGTTTGGCTCCTGGTTAGTGACCAGGGCTTGGATCATAATATGACAAACAGCAGGGTGGAGGAAAAACTTAGTTAGCCAAGGAAAAAGATCAGTTCTCTCTGAGCGACCCTACAGTGCATTCTGTGTGTGTGCAGTCTGAGCTGGTGCTGGGACAGAGGCAGCTTTCACTCAGATTTGGCTGAGTATTGAGGTTTTGCTGACTGCACATGGAGCCAGGCTTCCTGGTGACAGCAGGGTTTTCCAGGCCTCCATCTTGGAGGGATCCCTGCATGGAAGCAGCTCTCAAATTTCTCATCTCTAAGGATGCACGTTCCTCCTCCCAGCACTACAGAGCAACCCAAAACTGGCAACTGTGGTAGAACAAGGAAAGGCACATGTTGCTGGCTGAGTTGTGCAGCACTGGGAGGTGAGGATGCACTTCTGCATGGTGGGGGAAGTGCTGTTTTCCCCCAGAAAAGGAAGTCCATCCTCTGTGCTCAGCCTCCCTCCTCCCAAGACCCCACACTGCTGAAGACAAGGCTTTTGTTCCCAGCTGCTGCTGCCGGCCCTGGCGCCGTGTTGTGGGAGAGGGAGATGGTTTCCCTTCTTTGCAGTCTCAGCACAAAGCACTGCAGGGCTTTCAGCCAGCAAGAGATGGGGAGCTGAAAGCTGCCGTTGCCATGGAAATAATGCATGCACGGAGCAGCAGAGAGCTTGAAACCCCCAGCACTCCTTTCAGAGCCAGGCCACATTGCAGGGACTTGCTTTTCCAAGAGTTTGCCTTAAAACTCCTTTTCACAGCATGGAATTTTTATTGCTTTATGGTACCCAGTTGTCTGGGTCTGTGCTGAGATGATGGCATGTGGCTGCATGGTGTGGGATGGCATTGTCCTTGGCTTGGGCAGCTGCTGTTCCTGTGCATCCACAGTGGGTTTGGGGACTGCCTTGAGCATCGATGTGCCTATCTCAGATGGATAAAATTTCTGCTCTTTCATCTTCAGCTTAGGCTCTCTGGCCACCAGCAATCCTCATGTTGTTTTAATTAGCAGCACTGAGACTTTGTGTTTTAGGGCACGCCTTATTAAGCCGTTCCATGTCTCGGGATTGATTTGGAGGTGCTGCCTAGGAACAGATGCACCCAGCTGCTTTTAGCCTTCATTTTCTGCTGGAAGTGGGGCAGGTTTAAACTTGCACTGAGCTGTGCCTGAACACAGCCACTCTTAGCAGGGCACCACCAGCACCCGTGATGAGCGTGAGTCACGCTGTGTGGTTTGCATGGCTCTGAGAGGAGGGGGCTTGCTGAAATAAATTACTGCTTGATCAACAAGACCTAAATTTGCAGAGGGAGGTGAGGGGGATCCTGTGATTCTGTGATCTCTGTACCTGGTACAGCAAGGCACATGCAGCTGCTTGTGGTTCAGAGGTGGGTAACACTGCTTAGGAGTGTTTTATGGAGTGCAGGGGGAACTGTTTGTGTAATCCAGCACCCAGCAGCAGGGGATGTGTTCAGGATGACACAGCTGTCCAAGGATGTCATCCAACACATACCACAGGGCCCATTACTTCTGTGCTAAAGGCTGGGCCATGCTGCCCAGAGCTGCCCTGCCCGACTCCAGATGTGCTGTGGATTTAGGCTTAAACTGTATCAGGATTTGTAGCTGGCAGGGTGCGTGTGCAACATGGAAAAAAAGATTGTCCTGGTTGGAGAAATTGAGCTTGTCCAGAATGCCTCAGAGTAGGATATACATATGGAGAATTACTTAATTCTCCTTGTTTTGCAACATGTTTTCCCAGCTGTTGAAGTCTGCTGTCTCATTCAGCTTCCTGACAGCAGCACAAACATTTTGAAAGTCCCGTGGCCCCATCTCATTCTCTGTTCAGACATTCTTATTGCTATTATCCATATGTTTTTCCTTGAGCCTGTTTCTTTGGATTTGATTGTTGCTTGGAGCTTAGCCTCACAGCATTAGTACAGAGCAGAGCCAAAGGTGGCATTTGCTGTGGCAGACCCCTTGCTAATTTCTTCTTGGTGGCAATGGTCTTAAGTTCCAGCTTCTGTTTAAATTCCCATCCTCCTGTGTCTTTTAGAAAATTTGCTGGGACAAGGAAGAGAAGGAAGTGTGGTGAGGATCACCTTGTTATAGAATGGTTTGAGTTGAAAGAATCCTTAAACACCATTCATTTTCACACCTCCACCATGGGCAGGGACATTTTCCACTAGACCAGATTGCTTAGGGCTCTGTCTTGGCCGTGAACACTTCCAGGGATAGGGCTTGGGAATGGAGCACTCATGCCTGTGTCTGCTTGGATCTGGAGACCTGTCTCCCACGTGTCCATGTCAGCAGAATTCTCTAAGCTATCTCTTCATGGCTCTGCATCCCTGACACCTCCTGCTCTGGATCTCTCCGCTGCGCCCTTTTTAAACTCGCAGCGCGCATGGGAACTCTCTGGGTGCTCTCAGTGCCAAAACCACAACAAATGGCGAGTTTCCGTCTGTCAGCTCGGCTCAGCCCGGCTCAGGCTCTCCACGGCTGGGCAGGCGATTTTCATTTTTCTTCCATAAAAGGACATTGAGGCTCGGCTGCAGCCGCGGGGCCGGGGCCGAGCGCGGGCAGGGCGAGCACGATGCTATCGGAGCCTCCTTCCCTATTTCCACACAGGGATGAGCCCGAGGGAGGGAGGGACCAAGGTCCGAGGTGGGGTTGAGGTGATTGTAGGCAGCAGATAACACCCCAGTAGGTTTTATTGCCAGGTTCTAAAGGGAGGTAGATAACAGGAGAGAGTTTGTGGTAGAGCAAACCTTAAAAGTACAGTCCTGTGGAGGGCGGGCACGTGCGCTGAGCCATCGAGGTGGGGAGAGTCAGAATTGCCTGGGGAGTGCTGAGGGTTGGGAGATCTTCTCATCCCCAGATTTATGCTGGGCAAGCTGCTTATCCTGGGAGGAAACTGCAAGGGGAATGAGGGAAGGCAACATGCTGGGGGTATTGTCTTACGCCTTAATTTTTGCAGTGTGCTCGTAATGGGCAGGAGCAGTTGCAAGAATTGAGTGGTGCCAGCAGTAAGTTGATCCTAAATGCCCCTTTCCAGAGAAGGAGCCCCAAATCACTGCTTGCCAAATTGTCACCCTTTTGGACACGTAGGAAAGGGCTGTAGAAGCTTTGAGACTACCCCACCTGGAAAGAGGGTAGGAGTGGGCTGGGTTAATTGCTGTGGTGGGGTGTGGGGGCTCCATCAGTGGGAGCTCAGGTGCTGCTGCTGCTTTAACAAGGTCAAGTCTGTTTATGCAGTGGTATGTGGAAATGCTTCACTTGATAAATGAGTCTGACAGGAGGAGAGGGTGAGGCCCAGCCTGGAAATGGACCTGAGGAAAGAGGTCAGATTAAATGGGGTATCTGTCTCTTGCAGGGAAAAAAAAACTTGCTGAAAGCAGGAACTCAGACTAGTCCCTTTAAAAATGGACTGTGTAAGTCA